ATCAAACGCCCTGTTAAAGAAGACAAGGCGCCAAATTCGAAGTAATTTGGCCGGCAATGTGTCAACACTTGTATTCATGAACAATTACAAATCTTTTAATTTTAACAATTGATTTTACATTCTTGTCTCTACTTGGTATTCCACCGCTAATTTTTTAAGTAAAATATAATGATTTCGTTTGTATAATCGTCGAAGTATCAATTCCAATGCCACAAATTCGTTATCATAGACATAATTTAAAATCGCGTGCATGATCTTGGCTGTCCGGGTGACGTCGCGTCCATGTCGATGGTCGATGTCGATGGTCGAAACGTTGAAATGTGTGTTGCCGACGTTTCGACCATCTTGTCGTGGTATTCCTCAGGGCTGGTATGAGCCCGACCCGGACAGCCAAGATCATGCACATGACTCTGGCCGCGGAAGCCTACGACTTCATAATTTAAAATCGTGTCTGGGTGCCTGTGTCTTGATATTACCTAAAAGAAGTTCAGGCAAATACTGCTGCAATGAACGAAAGACATTCCCACGATTTCTCATGAATTGCATTCGTGTACACTTTTCGGTTTGAGGACACAAATATGCATATTAATTGAAATTCCAAGAGATATATGCCATATTAAGAACAAATAAGCATTGAAATATGAATAAAAAGAAATATAATGGAAATAAGATGCATTAACACAAAACGCCCTAAATACGCACTAATATGCAATATGAAATCAACTAAATTCTGTTCATTTTATTGTATTTTGTGGACATTTTATAGTTAGCATATTATAAAGCTCGTATTAAAAATATGATTTTTCATAAACTTCCGCACCTTATTACGAATAACGTGTGAGTAATACACAGGCTTATATTCCAGTGTGGAGCATTTATTTCACACACACGTTAGGGGCCTCAAAAATGCAAGTAAAGATCCCTAGAATATGGTTACCCCTAAATGAATATATTTCCTTTTATGATACAAATACAGTATCACAATACTTACTAAAACACTAAATTAATATGAAACAATTAGTCCCAAAGGTGTAGCGTACATTTCTATACGGGAATGTGGTGGTGATTTTCCCCTTTTAGATAACTGGCGCCAACTTGCATTAGTATGCGGAATTTTCACCGACCAGGTATCTCCCACCAGCAAGGTACCGCCGTAGTCGGGTCAAGCTCCAATCTCCACATTGGTTTCCCATCATATGTGGTAGTTTAAAGCATGTAAATGTGTGTATGTAAGCGGTGAGGATAAGACAGGGAAGAGGAAGGAAAGATCGCGCGCGGTCCGTGGCTAGCTCAAACCAACATTCTTCCTGTATCACATTTCGGGTTGATTGATCATTGTGTCTTTTCCGGTTCGTCAACTACTAGGGTCATTAGTCTCCTAAGTTTAGTGCATGCTGTATTTCGAGAAATAGAGGTATTATTTCCTCGCTGGGACGTGAGATACCGCGCTGGCCTACACGTCTATTTACTGGGGATTCCCCGTCGAGGTATTTTTGCAAGCAGGACATTCTCCCTTCCGGAACAAGTCCTAAACTCTCTACTGTGATTCCGACATTTGAGGTAGTGTACTGCTTGTAAGCATAAGTGTAAGTAGGGGGATCGAGGATGAGGAAGGAAACATCGCGCGCGGTTCCTGACCCGTTTCTTAGGATACTGCTCCTGTATTTTCCTTAAATTGTTCGAAGAAACCACGGAAAAAGACCAATCAGAGCTGCGGAACGCTAGAATTCTTCTCCAGACATCGACTGAATTTGATCTACTGATCTAGTCATTCTCCTCCAGGAGACATCGCCTTAAAGTAGCGCTGTCCGTGCGGGCGAGGAGGTTTGCGTACTCCATTAAAGTTGAGAGCATTACGGGGATAGAAGTGCTTTCAGGTTGGTAAACGTGTCAGTGCTGGTGCCTGTAGGATCACCCATGCTGTACAGGTCTCGGCGGAGGAGTAAAAGTGTTGTCTCACAACGTCCCGTCCACCAGATATCTCACTTATCCTAATTGTCCAGGCTCCACTGTTTCCGTTTTCTCCCCCTCCCCCACCTGAGGCACTGTCGTAAGGATGGTATCCCTGTCAAATGTGGCATTACTTCCACTTACTTGTACCACACTACTTTTGTTTCAGCACTATTTCCAGTACATAAAACTTTACGAGAAGAGTCTGTATAGCCCCGACTTTGTTTAAAATTTTTTTAATGAATCCTTGAGAAGATGGAGGAAGAAATGTAGTTATATTGGGATTAAAATTGGTGACTATGTTATTCTCTCTACATTTAGCAGATGATCAGGTGTTCGCTGTAGATGAAGTGATGCTCTATACATGCTGCGAAAATTATATGAAGAGTACTCGGAACGGGGTTTAAAACTAAACCTAAATAAAAATAAACCAACATTCATATACCTCGGTACAAAAATAAACGCAATTAAGAGGCAGTACGCAAGTTATTAGAAACAGAATTGCAAAAGGAAGAGTGGCTATAAAATGATTACATCCACTGATGTGGAAAGATAAATTAAGAGTGTAAAAGAGAATTACATGAGACTGTTGTAGAGAATACTGCCCTTTATGGATCTGAGGTATGGGAAGTAACAAAAAAGAGCGAAAAGAAATTGAAAGCTATGAAAATGGATTTCTGGCGCCGAAGTTGCGGTCTGACATTAATGGATAAAGTTAAGAAAGAAGAAATTCAACGTAAAGCGGAAGTAAGTTTTAAAATAATTGACACCGTAGAAGTGAAATACCTAAAATGGTATGGGCATTTGCTAAGAGTGAAGGAAGAACGTTTGAACTCATCGGCGAAGAAGACCTAGACGTACATGGTGAGAGGGAGTGGATGATGCAATGGTGAAGAGAGGATTGAGTAACGAAGACTACTCCGATAGAGAAATGTGAAGGCTGGGATGCGAGAGACACTGTAGGGTGTAATATAACTCACTAGACTACTACTGATCTAGTCATTAGAGAACTCAATTCCTAGAACCTCCCGGTCAGACACACTGCAATGAAAACTGTTGTTGCTCTGAACCAGTACTCCCAGCGAACGTATGACTCATGGCCACTTATAACGGAAATTCACGTGAGAAAGGATACTGAAACCTGCTTCAAGAGTTCAAAGTCGGTTACTTCCGTTAACAACCATTAGTTCTTAGCCTGTTTATTTTCCCTTAAGTCGCATATCAATAATCTCTATTTTAACCTAGCACCTTATCCTGCTTTCCAGCGCTGAGGTATATGCAAATTAACATGCGTTCCACAATCACAACTTCCTGAACAATTTGCGATTAAGATCTATAAGACTATTAAAAACAATGATAACTTTGGATGTTACTCATCATCCTGGGGAGATATGTAATCCATGTAATCCAATATTACGTATTAACTTGGATAGTTCATCTTTACATAATTAATTTGCGTTTCACACAGCAATACATTATTTTCAAGGATGTGTTGCAATTTTCTCAAGGTATGAACTGTAGTTTGAAATGTAGTCGGGAATCAAGTATGCGAATGAGAAGTAAAAAATAAATGAAAATGTTTCCGTAAGGCAGTGGCTGTTCCTCTGACCCCTCACAGTTGAAAATGTCTACGCGAGACACTGACTGTGTTCCAATCATCGCGCACAGATGTTTGCGCAAGGCAGTGGCTGTGTTGCGCCCACCGATGAAAATGTTTGAGAAAGGATGTGCTAACTCCCGTTGCGCCAACTCCCGTTGCGCCAACTCCCGTTGCGCCAACTCCCGTTGCGCCAACTCCCGTTGCACCAACTCCCGTTGCGCCAACTCCCGTTGCGTTAACTCCCGTTGCGCTAACTCCCGTTGCGCTAACTCCCGTTGCGCTAACTCCCGTTGCACTAACTTCCGTTGCGCCAACTCCCGTTGCGCTAACACCCCACAGACGAAAATGCATGAGTAAGTCAGTGGTTGTGTTGTGCTGACCGCTCATTGATGACAATATCTGCGCAAGACAGTGGCTGTATTCCAAAGACAGCGCACATATTTCGGTGCAAGGCAGGGTCTGTGTTGCACTGACCGTCCACAAATGAAAACGTGCACACAAGGCAGTGCTACCTCCCGTCGCGCCAACCCCCCCACAGATGAAACTACGCGTAAGTCATCGACTGTGTTGCGCTGACCGCCCCAAGACGATGTTTCTCCGCGAGGCATTGGCAGCACTGACCGTGACTCTGATGCGCGTCTTGGCCGCCGCCAGCTCCCGCCGCAGCCCCTCCGCCAGCACGCGCACCGCGTGCTTGGACGCCGAGTACACGTGGATGCCCGGCAGGTTGATCACGCGGTGGCCGGCCTTGCTGTTGGCACGCGCGCACAACACGGTTCAGGCTGGCCAGGCGTTTCGCAAGCTAATGAAACGGCGTATCTGACATATCGATTCTATTGTTGTTTAAAAGACGATGAACAACATCAATTTGGATTATCGACTTTCATGTCAACTTCCAGTAATAATAAGTAACTTCTGTCAACTTATTTACATGTGACTCAAATGGATGATTGCTTAGTTATTCTGGGCGCATTAATGGCTAAGAACATTAGTCCCGTAAGTGTAGTGAGACTGAGCGTAGGCTTCCGCGGCCGGAGTTAGTCCGGGTGACGCCGCGTTCATGGCGAAGGTGCCGACGTTTCGGTCGCCACTCTGCGACCTTCCTCAGGGCGTAATGCATTACGGCGTCACCCGGACAGCCTAGTAAGTAGTAAGTGTGTTTTCTGTGATCTTCATTCACTGGCTGTAGGGATACGGTGCAGGCCTACGTCGGTTTTTGGAGATTTCTGCAACCAGGTATCTCCCATAAGCTGGGCACCGTCCCAGCTGGAACAAGCTCCAAGCTTCCGACCATTCTCCAGGCATGTGAGAAGTCTAGTGCATGTATGTTTAAGTGTGTTTAGATAAGGAGTGAGGATAAGGCAAGAAAGAGGAAGGAAAAATCGCGGGCGGTCCTTGGCTGTCCCGTTTATTAGAGCACTGTTCGAGCAGTCACCTGATATTGATCGGAGAAACCATGAAAAGCTACCGATCAGAGCAGCCGGCCGCTAGAGTTTTCCTCCAGTTAGCCATTGAATTCGACCTAGCTATCTAGCTAGAGTCGAATATTCTGCCACAGTCGGAAGTCGAACCTAGGATCTCCCGATGAGATGCAGTGCATTGACATCAATTGATGCCCGGAGCCATATCTGCCGGTATACTATTTCAAAGACATTGTAACATGTAAAGAATTCACTATTCCGGACCAAGTCCTTGAATTTTTTAAAGGTAGGTGTGAAAACATTGTGAGCTGCTTTAGTTCTGAAATTTTTGTCGGTATCATCACTCTTCTGCTGATTGCACCTCGTCCTTTCAGATAGATTGAGCCCAACAAGCAACTGCTTGTATCTTATCTCTCTGTACAAATTGGAGTAAACAAGTAATCGGAAAGTCATGTTATAAAAAGTTCTAACTCGGTACTAAAATGTTTATATGCTTAAATATATTTCTCAACCATTGTAGAATACATAAATTAATGGAAAAACGAAATTAATTTGATATAGCTTCTAAGTTAACTTTATTAATTTCGCAGCTATCCAATGTGTCTCAGCATTTGCTCAATGGATCAGGGAAACTAGACAACAACCTGACCGAGTTGGGGGTCATTGACCCGGAAGCTGAAGTGCATTATTTGTTACAAACAACACATTAAGTCTTTAAAAAATTCAATACAAATGTAAACTAATTCAATATATCACTTTTTTCTTAAAACAAACATTATTTTTCTTTTTTGATTACCAGTATAGTATCTAATTGTATAGAAACAGTTATGCAGCAGAAAATATTTTACTTATTTATTATTAAATAATTTTGTAACTTAAAATTTGTGAACCGATTTCAATTGTTTAATGCCATCTGGCAGTGCGTTGTAAAGTAACGTACATGAATTGTATGTGCATTTCTGATAGTGAGCTGTTGATACTGAACGTGACATTTACGGCGTGTGTTGTAATTATAAATATCAGTATTGCATGAAAATATATTCTCACCGCTACGTAAGTCACTTTTGACAAATATTATAGATTCGTAAATGTATAGGCAAGTCAGTGGTAAGATTTGAATCTCAATGAAGAGAGGCTTGTAAGTGTAACGCGGATGTCATTTTTTCATTATTCGAATAATTTTCTTTCGCAATCTAAAGATCTGGGTACTACATTATGCGTTTCCCCATACCTTAATGCCATATCTCAGTCGTTGTGCACTACCTGTGTCCTTGAAATGGTTAATATTGTAAATAAATACTTCAGAGGGAGGTAGCAGCGAGTCACATCTCACCTTCCGATGTGGATGATGTGGCCGTCAGCGACCTCCTTCGCCTTCATGATCTTCAGGGCCTCGCGAGTGCACACGCTCAGCCCCAGGATGTTCGTCTCGAGGATTTCCCGCCACTCGGAAGTGTTGGTTTCTGAACAAACACAATTACCGAAACGGAAATGAACATCACGTGGTACGTAAAAGCAAAGTCCACGCACGTAAAATAAATACGTGGGTGTAAACGAAGAATGGATTTATGGTGGGTGCACAAGAAAAGTGAGATCTCAAAAATTGTCATTGTGAACAATTTGACTTGAGGGATGCCGTTTATTTCATTGTCTAAGACAATGTGTTATTTTTTACTAGTAAATAGATATTTATGCACCAAGGGCATTATAAGGGTCTTAACGGTCGAGTGGCAACAAAAAGCCTGAAGGTCTTTGGTTCGGGGGCTTTTTGTTCCCCGAAAACATTAAAACCAGTTACCGTCAGTGGTACATACAAGATTATATTTTTATTTTTTAATTTTATTCATTCAGATTTACTAATTAACTAATTACTAACGTGACTCGCTTTGTCTTTTTATGTTTCCCTCCCATAATTCCCTCCTTACGAAAACAAGTAGAATCATTCAACTGTTATCATATTTCCCTCGTAAACACATCCTTCCCAATACTGGTAAGTTATGCAGAATAATCGAGCTCTGTATCAAAAACAATAACAAGCTCTAACGTATCAGTAAAAAAATGAAAATAAACTATTTGCTTCATAATTATTTCTTCAATTTTCTAAAGAAATTCCGATTTCTGAAACGGTGTCCTATTCCTAGTGTACAGAAGTTGTAATGTGAGTGACCGGTGTTTCCCTCGCCCATTATTCCCTTTATAAGAGAACATGTAGCATCATTCAACTGTTTTCATATTCTCCTCGTAACCACAATTCTCTCTATCCAGGCAAGTAATGCAGTGTACATAGTATATATATCGTATCAAAGGCAATACCGTATTAGTAAAAATTTTCAAACAAATATTTGCCACAGAAGTATTTCTTCAATTTTGTAAAGAAATGTCGATTATTGAAATGTGCCCCTTTACTAGTGCGTAGATGTTTCAATTAATTTCATCGATAGACGCTATTTTCTTTCTCCAAGCGAAACCGCACGATATCCTAATTGTTCAAAATTTATTTATTTGATTGTTTTGTACATAGAGCAGTTTGACAACTATACATATGTATTGATGACTTAATATAATCAAATAAAACGTAACCTGTCTTATCAGGACTACAGAGGTTGAGGAAACCATGATATCACCTCATAGGAACTATTCTAGATCTGAAACCAATTTACAGAATATATGGTATGGGTATTTATTTTTGAAGCGAGTAGGATGAATGACTTTTTTGCCGACTCTGAATAAAGGTAAGATTTCTGGTGCACGATGGAATCCAGGTTGAATTCATTGTGTAATGGGTGATTAGATATGAACCAGGATGCATTCGCGATTGTGAGAAGGAATTGGTTCCGTACTATTTGAATTTTGTTGATGTTTGTTTTCGTAGCATTGGTCCGTACTGGGAAGGCGTAGAGAAGAGTCCGACTGATTATTGTTTGCTTTTTTGATAATGCTATTGCCGAGAGCGTAGGCTTCCGCGGGCGTAGTCAGTATTTAATTGGCTGTCCGGGTTACGCCGCGTCCATGGCGAAGGTGCCGACGTTTCGGTCGCCATTCTGCGACCTTCCTCAGGGCATACGCCCTCTCGTCACTTTTGGCCATGCACCACAACATTCATACTTAACCAGCCTTCGTACGTAATGTTCTTTCGGGGCCTCCAGTCCCGAGCAAGAGGCATTTGTCTCGATAGAACAATTTTCAAAATTCATTCAATTGGACTGCTCACGCAGTAAGGCTTGCCTTTTCGGGTCGATAACTCCCGAGCAAGACGCTTCCGTCAATTGCTTTCTCTCATCAGAGAGTAATAGTGTTTGCACATGTTAGACTTCTCTCTATTACGAGCTCCACTCTACGGCTTGTTGTTGTGAGTTCCCAGGCCCGAGCAAGAGGCATTTGGCTACCGTTGTTTTCTCCTAAGAGAGTAATCGGGTGTCGGATTCCCGATAAACATGCGACTCCCGCGCTCTCGAACGGGGTCGCTCGTCATAATTTTTCCCATTCGGAAATTGACTGGGACTCCCGGGAGAAGTTTTTCACCATCTTTCGAAATACGTCACCAGACCTTTGCTCAGACTTGCATCTCGACATCTATGCGACTTGATACGGTCGTGCTCCACATTCAGTACTGCTCCCACAGTACGGCTTGCAATAGCGGGTTCCCAGGCCCGAGCAAGAGACATTTGTCTCGATAGAACAAATTTTTAAAATTCATTCAATTGGACTGCTCACGCAGTAAAGCTTGCTTTTTCGGGTCGATCACTCCCGAGCAAGAGGCTTCCGTCAATTACTTTTTCTCATCAGAGAGTAATAGTGTTTGCACATTTTAGACTTCTCTCTATTACGAGCTCCACTCTACGGCTTGTTGTTGCGAGTTCCCAGGCCCGAGCAAGAGGCATTTGGCTACCGTCGTTTTCTCCTAAGAGAGTAATCGGTTGTCGGCTTTCCAATAATCATACGACTCCCGCGAGCTTTAACGGGGTCGCTTGCCTATTGCAAAAAAAAAAAAAAAACAACATAAAT